GATGTCTTACTTAACATTACATTGATAATTTTCAATAATAAATAAGATAATCAGAGATCGATTATGAAGATTATTGAGACGATATGTGAGTATGTGACACGCGTCGGTACGTATATTGTATATCCTTTGCAATATCACTAAATTTATCTGCTGGTAGATTCCAACTACTATTAAAGTTGAAAGTGTGACGCAAATTACATATTATTCCATTTCGATTTCTTTAGTGGCGCAAAATACATGTTATATTTTTATATTTTGGCGCAAATTACATATGTACTTAAATGTACCTATTTATGGCTCAAATTACAAATAATAAAAGTGGCGCAAAATACCATCTCCCATTTATAATATAGTTCGTTTTATAATGGATAGGGTAGAACTGCTTCTTGTACTAAGATAATTTACTAAGCTATCGAACGATTGAAAACACTTAAAATTAACAAAAAACTTACCCCTAACCCAAAAAAAAACCAAAAAACAATACGATTAAAAATGAATTTACGTGCAACGTTGCCATATCATTTATTTGGCTTTTGAAAAATTCCGTTTACAAAAAATAAATATTCTTTAAAAAAGTCATAAATTAATAATTATTATAATCATATACAAATAAGCACCTAATAATATGTAATATATAATATGAATAAAAATTAAAAATATGTAAAACTTATAAAATTATAAAATATATATTTATAAAAATGAAATAAATATAATATTTTGTAATGATAACTTAATTACCTATATATCAGTTATAGCGGGATAGCGTAAGCCAACATACTCTAAATAGACTAAATATTTTAATAAATTATTAGAACTCTTATTTCCCACATACCACATATATTTATTATGAATATTAAGTACTTTATCCTTTTGATTTTTTGGCATTTATTTATTTTATTTTTTTTACTCTGTATCGTAGCTATTTTCAATATTGTTTCTGATTGAGTTTCAATTAGAACTTTAATAACTATATATATATATATATATATTGTTGAATGAGAGCTGTAAAATTGACTATTATATCATTCTCTCGTATCTTATTTATATCTAAGTTACTATTAATATCCAACTAATCCGATAAAATTCCAATAAATTTCAACAGATTATTTTGCTCATATTATCGATTGATTACATTTGGCAACATTGGAAAAAATAAAAAACTCGAGCGTTCTCAAGCATGTTACCAAAAATAATATTCTCAATCGTACCGTTCTCAATTGTGTTTTACCGATTTACTTTAAGACGAATAAAGGAAAGGAGCTTATCATAATCGATATTGCCTAATAGTAAATTATGCAAAAATTTAGATACTTATACCTTGCACAATGTCTAAGCAGAGAAAGATTGATAAATTATAATTTGTATCGTAAGAGCCACGAGGGGACTTTTTAAGTGTTAAAGGTTAAAGTTGAAAGAGATAATTCGAAGAAAATTATTCTGAATTGATTCGATCGCTTCTATTTGCTTTAAAGTATTATTAGTCCAAATTAATGAGCAATATTTTAAGTTAAAGCAGACAAGAGCACAAAATACAATTTTTAGAGATAGAGGATCTCTAAATGATCCACAAGTACGTTTAATAAAACCTAGGTTACGCATTGCCTTATTTTTTATCATCCAGTATGGGCTAAAAAAATTTAATTTAAAATCAAAGATTACGCCTAGATCCTTAAAATGATCTAAGAGTTCAATATTTAAATAAGAAATAGAGTAAATATAGTTAATATAATTTTTTATTTAACTATAGTGCATAAATTTACATTTATCAATATTTAATGACAATCGGTTAACTGAGCACCATGAGTGAATGTTATTTAAATCGCTTTGTAACCAATTCGCGTCCTGTTGATAATTAATTATTTTACGGGTTTGAGGTCATTGGCAAAAAGAAAAACATGAGAACTTTTTATAACATTAGGGATGTCATCAATTAAAATATTAAATAGTAAAGTAGAGAGATGACCGCCTTGAAGCACACCAGATAGTACATTAAATTTATCAGATTTAAAATTCATGTGTTTAACTGGTATGAAACCAAGAAAATAATATATCAAAAAATCCGAACAATTTTAATTTTTTGAATAATATTTCATGGTTCACACAATCAAACCCTTTAGACATATCAGTAGAGATGATATTAGTTTGCGAGTAAGCCTTGAAAGTTTCGAGTATTAATTGTTTAGTGATTGCTAGATTTCAATCAGCTGATCGTTTAGGTCTAAAACCACATTGATGATGAGCGAGAAATAAAGAGCATTAATTATTAATTTAAATAGAAGATCTTTTAGAAAGATCTTCTTTAAATTAAACTATGTAAGTTATATTATTGATACTTACCTACATAGTAACTGTTGCATATTCGACATGTATGTATACCACACGTTGTGTTTATATTAATGATAATTATAAATACATTTGTGTTATATTTCATACTAATACTACACAACAGTAACATACGCTATAGTTTTTTTTTTTTTTTTTTTTTATTTAAATAAAGGCTTCAAATTCAAAGTTTATTAGCCTACAATGATTTACGTTTTATACATTTTTTTTTTTAAATTTAATTTGAACATTATAAATAAATAAATTTAGATTTCCGTTGTTGCTCCAGGTGTTGAGATGGTGTTACAAGCTCGTTGTGAGGTCAGCTCTTTTGATGAAATCCACGATTTTTGATTCTTGTCCGGGGCCGAGTGATTCTTTGAGTGAGGTGGTGTTGATATTCGATTCCGTGCGCGCGTGTTGGTAAGTCGGGCATTCAAGAAATATGTGTTTCACTGAGAGTGCGCAGAGACATGTTTCGCACACGGGTTCAGGTTCCTTGCGCATCAGGTGTGAATGAGTCAGTCGCGTATGTCCGATGCGTACTCTGGTGATCATTGTTTCCTCGTGTCGTGTGAGGTTGATTGGGGGGGTTTGCCATTTTTTTGTATATGTCTTTATTTGATTTAGTTTGTTGTTGGTTTGTTTTTCCCATCGAGTCTGCCACAGGGAATGGAATTTGGTTTTAAGGGTGTGGATAACGTCTTCGTATGTTACGTGTGGATATATTTTTGTATCTGGAGATCTAACTGCTTTCATTGCCAATTCATCTGCAAGTTCATTTCCAGGAATGCCTACGTGGGATGGGATCCACATGAGTTTTATGATTTTGTTGGTTGCGAGGATTATATTTTGGATGCTTCGGGCGAGATTACATTTTGTGTGTATGTTGGCTATTGACGTAATTGCGCTCATAGAGTCGCTCAGGATGAGGATTTACGCTATAGTTTATATACGATATTTAATATAATTATTGGGATGAAGAAAAGCTTTAGTTAGTTGTATAGAAAAAAATTATGTAACTCGTACGATACTACTTCATATTTTATATGAAACGAATAAGTTCATAAACTCATATATAGCCCGAATGATATCAAGCTTTTGAACTAAGTAAATATAGTACGTTAGCTTTCCAGTGTGTACATTATATCACGATCGTCTTTTATACTGCATAGTATATAATAATGACGCCTTTTATTTTTAGATATAAAATTTAATTAGTTCTGTTTCGATAGTAGATACAAAACGTATTATCATAACATTCATAACCTATAAATTATGATATGATTTGTGTAATAATTATAATTCGTACTTATGTAGCCATGTAAGTATTCTATATTACTGTCACATTTTTATAAGCAAATAACCATTTATATATTTTACTATGGTATAAATAATTATAGTAGTGACAACTGGCAACAGATGACATTACACACGCATATTATTATATTCAATTGCATAATAATCAAGATAAAATATGTATTCTACTAAAAAATGTTTAGGATTATTATTAAATATATTTATACAGGTAAACGCTTTAAATATTTAATTGTGCAGTGTACAAAAGTTTCAAACAAAGTATGTTTTTTGTTTGCTTATCTATATAAAATATAGTATGTAGCCTTTCTTTAGCTGTCTGCCTACATTAGCCGTTTTTAAAATATATATAATAATTATACTCTGTGAAACGTTTTATCATATTAACGAAATCAACATTGTTCATTCATATAATATTAACTGTTTAATATATTACTTGTATATTATACATATTTTTTATATGATAATATTTATATACATATAGTATATTATAAGTAGATCCTAGACTAACCACGCCTGTTATAATAATAGTAGTTTTAAAATCTATTAAGATAGTGTGGATACTGGTCGATGGACGGAAACTAAATAAATGTATAATATTGTAAGTAATGTTAAGCATTTTTGTATTGTAGCTCTAAATAAATGTGTAAAAATGTAAGACTTTATAAAATGTATAATAATATGTATTAAGATGTTTTTTGTTTTTTAATTTTTATAACATTTTTAATCAGTAAATGTATACGAGGAGTAAAGACCAAACGTATACATATACAGTCGAGTCGCGATAACTCGAAGTTGAAGGGGGATAAAAATACACTTCGAAATACGTATTATTCGAGATATATAACTTGAATTTATCAAAATTAAATCAAAACTTCGAGTTATGTAATAAAATATAATAAAATATAAAAATTATAAAAATTTATGATAAATATATGTAAATAAATGTTGTATAACATAACTAAAATAGATACAATGGTATTATAAGTATATGTACATATGTATTATTTATTAGATACAGTAGAAAAATAATTTGTAATTAATTTTTGGGTTTTCGGCTGTTTATTGACAAAATCTTCTAATTTTCCTATGGCTTTGAATATAGAAGTATCCACACCTGCGACGGATTCAATAAACTGCCTAACAGTGTGTAGTGATGATATTGCTTGGTTCGCCGTTATCATATCTAAAGTTCTTTCAGGCTCATCATTTTCATCATTTTCGGAATCACTGTTTGATATATTGATACCCATGATTTCGTTATCAGTTAATAGTCCAGTGACTTCAACATTTTCATCGATTGTAGCATACGATTGAAATGTAGTCTGATGATCGATATTAAACTTATCTGCTACAATTTGCTAATCATATCCACCATCATCATCATCATTGTTTTCTAAACATATATCACCATCACACTGCTCTTCATCAAAATAAAATCCAGCTTTTTTGAAACAATTGATAATTGTATTCGGTTGTACATTACGCCATACTTTTTCACACATGCGCATAGATTGTAATAAATTTATTGAGCATGGTCTGCCTTCATCAATATCGTAAACAATTTTTCGAATAATTTCTTTGCGGTATAATGTTTTGAAATTTTGTATTATTCCCTGATCTATTGGTTGTAGTTTAAATGTAGTATTTGGAGGCAAAAATTCGATTCTTACAGATTTTAAATTAATAGTACAATGAGCTGTACAATTATCAATAAATAATAAAACATTTCTTTGATTTAGTCGCATTTTTTGATCAAATTTCACAAGCCAACTTTTAAATAAATCACCATTCATCCATGCCTTTTTGTTTGACTCATAATCTAATGGAAAACTCTTAACTCCTTTAAAACATCGTGGTTTTTTGATTTCCCAATTATAAGTGGCTTAATTTTTTCGGAACCTAACATATTTGATCCTAAAAGAATTGTTATCCGTTCCTTACTTTGTTTGCCACCCGAACAAGTTTCCCCTTTCAATATAAAAGTACGATCGGGTAGGCATTTAAAAAACAATGCTGTCTCATCCACATTAAATATATCGTCGGGAGAATATTCTTTTATGATGTTTGATGACTTTCCTAACCATTCATTACATAAAGAGTCATTTACAGAAGCACTTTCGCCACATATTTTACGAAAAATTATGTTATGATTTAATATTATTTAATATTATTTAATATTATTTTTCCAATTCCCTAGCCAGCCTTGACTTGCTTTAAAATTAGAATAACCAAATTGAGTTGCAAAATATTCTGCTTTTTCTTTTAGTATTGGTCCACTTATAGGTATATTTTTATCTCTACATTGAGTAAACCATTTGAATAAACATACCTCTACATTTGGATATTCGGCTGGTTTTGACCTTTTATTATCACCTTTATTGTCTTCAAATTTTTTTAAAATATCCGCCTTATTTTTTAAAAATATTGACAGCGTATTTGGTGGAATATTAAATTCTTTCGCGATGTCTTGTTTTTTCCGGTTACCTTTTTCCACCAATTGTATCACATACACTTTGTCAGCTATAGTTAAATGATTTAATTTTCGTTTTTGAGACATATTTAAAAACATACAAAAATACGCACAATCGACACGACACGATCGAATGATACTAACATTATTAACCATACATACTTACTGTTATTGTGAATGTGCTAATAATCAGTTTCTATATCTACTCATTTTATCTTAAAGTAGATAAAACAAAATATTACGAAATACCCAGATACCCATATATCACAGATATAAATAATATACTTCGACTAAGCTATTCATTACAATTTTATATTCGAGTTAACAAAATTTATAATACATTGAGTGTTATGAGAATTTCTAGGGGAATAAAAAAAAAATCGAGTTGTCAAGTTTTTCGAGTTATCGCGACTTGACTGTATATATATATATGTATTAATTTTAGACAACCAACCGAACGACCAATTGGTATCGCCAAAATCATTTATCGAGAGCTAAAACCACCTAAAATAAATATAACAAAAACATTAGAAGAATTAAGATGGTTATGTGATACAGCAGCAAAAGTGAGCGTAGAGTTCACTAAAAACAACTCGGAAATTGATAAAAACGCCTGAGCACAATTTTGGATTCAAATAGTCAATCGAACTCGTACCTAGTACTAAGACAGAGTGAGGCGTTAACAATTGATTAGAGTTCAATCTTTTAACAAAATAAAAACTTTTATGTAATTGATAAATTTACATAGACATATATAAAATATTATGTTTTTATTTTTTTATTTTTTTTTTTTGATTAATTTCGTTAAATTTAATTATTGTATATCGCTGAGTGTATTCCTAAATACATTATACTATCGTTCAATTGTGTTTTTTAAAATAACAAATCCAAATAACGGTCATCTGAAAGTAATTATAAGATAAACCAATGCGATGCGTTTCAATCTCGCCATTATCGGCATGTGTTCTCGTTCAAAAAATCATATTAAATCAGATTTTCGACTTAGAGTTTTGAAAGTAGTACGATTGGCATTCCTAAGTACTTTTACTATTGTGCTGGTGTATTTTAAAAAGCTAAAAATCAATATAACGGTCATCCGGCATTTAAATAAATGATTTACCGCCGATTTTAAGTAAAAGATTTTTTGTTTCCGTTATAAGTCTTAGACACCGCGATTTTTTATACTTAACTCTAATATTAATACACTGTATAGCTGACATGTGTAAAAACTTACCAATATTCTTTATATAACGATGGTATAAAAATTGGAGTTTTGGTGAGTGTTCGAAGCAGACAACATTACTAATAGAAATATGTGTACCTTATACCCCCCCCCCCCACCCAAGATAGCATATTATTTTCGTAAATCATCGTTAGTCTTTTTAGAAAATTATATAAAATCAGGTTTTTTACTTAGAGTTTTGAAAATGGTATGAGTGTATTCCTATGTACTTCCTATTATCATCCAATTGTGTTTTTAAAACAACAAGTTCAAATAACGGTCATCCGGAACTAATTATAAAATTTACCAATGCAATGTGTTGCAACCTCGCGCTTAACCGTATATGCTGTTCAAAAAATCATATAAAATCAGGTTTTCTACTTAGAGTTTTGAAAATGGTAGTATAATATTGCACTCACATGATCGATATAATTTCATATTATAAACAAAACTTACAGAACACATAATAGCAACATTTTATAAAGCATTTATGTATTAATGTATTCATACAATAATACATATGTGTAACAATTGAAATCCGGTAGAATTATTCTTCTATATCTAATATATATATATATTACTACAACGCCTCTACGAGTAATGAAGAACTGCCCAAAAAAGTAAAATTGCATATAAAAAAAAAAAATTTAATAACAATCATTATTTATATCAATGAAAATATCATATAGTGTATTAAACATTTTTTTTTTTTTTTTTTTAAGATAAATATTTTAAAGTATAATAAAATTTTTAAATTGTAGACACTCTCGGTTAACGAAATTTTATCCATTATTTGGACTTGCTTACTATTCAGAGAAGATAAATGTTTGAAATTCATAAAAAGTAAATGTGTTAAATGAAAACACAACACATGTGCTATGTTAAATTAAATCATACATAATTGAATGTAAAATCGGTATGTAAATGGTATAGCATTTAAATTGAAATACCCTCCAAAAATATTAATGCGCGTTGAGCCGTTTACACCTATTTTTAATCTCACCAAGAGTTAATTCAATTTGACTATGATCACGAATTAAATATTTAATGTGCATTAAATATTCGTTATAACGCACATTGCTTCCTAATTAAGTTAATACGCATTAACGCAGAACGCTAAATGTATAAACGTAGAGGTGAGTACCTACTACCTAGTACTAACTTATTTATTATGATAAATAATCGCGGGTCCAAACCGAAAACAATTTTATCAGATAAATCATTGTAATTCAGAGATTTACTTTGTACTAGTATAAAATATAAGAGTTGATTGCCGCTCCAAGTTTGAGTTTTGGGAAGGAGCTTCCAAAAAAAAAGAAAAAATACATTCCTAAGAGTTCACTAAAAGCTCAGAATCAGAAATTCTCGGAAATACTAAAAAAATGTCAAAAATGTTCCTTATTATTTTATTATTTTTATTATTGTAGACAGTCACGTATTTTGTGTATGTATTTTTTATTTTTTTAGAAAAAAATGTCCTTTTAAAATATTTATATTTTATTCAAATGTTAACTAAACAACTAAAAACTATACAACATAAGTTAATGAAATACGAATATAATATGTACAACTTGAAAATAAATTTTAAGCTTATTAATAAGGTAAGTGTAATACCTAATATAAGAATGATGATCAGACATACGCTTTTTTTCATAACCTTATTATTGATTTATATTTATTTTTATAGTTTGATTTAATGCATATAGTTACAACAACCATAGTTAAATAACCTTATTGAAGTTAAATCGGTAGGAAACATGTTAATAAATATTTATAAGTGAAGTTTTATTGTTTTAATAATCATGCATTGAAATATTTTATACATTTTCAATGTGTTAAGTTTCAAAGTATTTTTATCATAAAAAAACACCCTTCAGATAATAAAATTATAATTTAAAATAATTTATTTTTATAGTCAATAATAGAAATAAGTAATAAGAAAAAAACAATTTGTATAGATGGAGATCATCTATGGGCGAAATAGGTAAAATAGTATAATCATTTTCCAATTCTCTCGAGGGATTGTTATTAGTTATTATGATAAAGGAATACTTGGACATTATAAATAATAAGGCGCCTATATAATATTCATGAAAATTGTATTTATATATTTTTAAATAATTTATTGTCTTGAATATCTATATGTATAATATTAAAAATAGATTTGCTATCAAAGGTAATATTGACTGGTCGATTTATCAAATAAGATAATCACTCAGTATACGTTTAGTTTTAAATTTAAATATTATAATAATCATTTTTTTACTTCTCAGCAGAATGAATAGTTTCAAAAAAATAAAATTCATGAAATTTAAAAATCTTACATACGAATAGATATGTGATAAATCGTATAGCGATTTTAATTCTAATAGTAACAACTTTATTATGCACCGATTTTCTAAATTTCAAACGCGAAATGGAAAATAAATAGATACAACACAATCAAATTTACAAACTTATCAAGATCGAGGCATAATTTTAAATGAACTGATTGTCTTACTTGAATTAAAATTAAAAGAAAACAACAAAATTAATAAACCGTGGCTCCGAAAAATCCTTTTATATTTTACAAAATCTCCCCTCTATCAGCAAGTTAATGTTACTAAGTCTAATCAAATTTGAAAAATGGACGCAATCTCAATCAAATGAAAAAATGCAATCATCAACCACATTTAAAAAAAAAAAAAAAAAAAAAAAATCAAAGCGGTTTCAAACCTAACCGACCAATATCAGTACTCTGCAGCATAAAAATGTATTAAAAAAAAAAATCATCTACAATAAACTAAATTGGTATGTAAATCGACATAAATTGCTTTCGCCGTTTTAACGCGATGTCTGCAGAAAGCACACCATTTGACTACTGACTGCTGCGTAAAAATTGACACTCTTGCCAACAAACAACAAAATAAGCCTCGATTTGTAGAAAGCATTTAATGACAACTTGCTAGCTATAACCTTTGCAGTTGATGTTTAAAAAAAAATCCATGTCCGGTAATATTAATAATAATATATATATATATATTATATATATATAAATAATTTATACCGGTGATTATCCTTTGCACCTCAACTCTATAGGTCAGCTATGCTGCTGTAATCAA